TTTCCAGGGGTGTGAAACAATTGTGTTATTAGGTGTCGCAGGTCATTTTATTATGCCCGTTAAGGATAATGAAGGCTATGGTTTTTCCAGTGGTCATGTATGGATGTGAGATTTGGACTATAAAGAAAGCTGAGTGCTGAAGAATTGATGCTTTTGAACTGTGGTGTTGGAGAAGACTCTTGAGAGTCCCTTGGACCGCAAGGAGATCCAACCAGTCCATCCTAAAGGAGATCAGTCCTGGGTGTTCATTGGAAGGACTGATGCTGAAGCTGAAACTCCAGTACTTTGGCCACCTGATGCAAAGAGCTGACTCATTTGAAAAGATCCTGATGCTGGGAAAGATTGAGGGCAGGAGGAGAAGGGGACGACAGATGATGAGATGGTTGGATGGCATCACCGACTCGATGGACATGGGTTTGGGCGGACTCTGGGAGCTGGTGATGGACAGGGAGGCCTAGCGTGCTGCAGTTTATGGGGTCGCAAGGAGTCAGACACGACTGAGCGACTGAACTGAACTGAAGGAAACAGAGGTATAGGTAGAAATAGGCCCAGTATCACTGAACCCTGGGAATCAGAACCAGGATTGGATAGAATCTCTGTCTGACCATCCTTTCAAGGGTCTTGAGGATTACAGAGGCCTACCAGAGGTCCTTCAGTTGAATCTTTTTTCTTATTGCTATTTGAATTAATTAGGAAGTTTGGGGTGGGGATCCCCTCAGCTGCTAAAGAATCTGCCTGCAATGCAGGATACCCTGATGTAATTCCTGGGTTGGGAAGATCCCCTGGAGAAGGGAATAGCTACCCACTCCAGTATTCTGGCCTGGAGAATTCCCTAGACTGTGTAGTCCATTGGGTCTCAAAGAGTCGGACACGACTGAGTGACTTTCAGTTTCACTTCAGGAAGTTTTTGAGAACTTCTGAGTTGTATAGCATAATTGGCATAGGTGATTCTGACTTTAGAACAGACAAGGAAATTCTTTTGTATGAACCAGCTGGAGCTGCCCTAACGAAATACCTTAAGAATGGATGCCTTCAACAACAGAAATTTATTTCTCACTGTGCTGGAGGCTGGGCAGTCCAGTTCAAGGTGCTGGCTGGTCTGGTTTCCCACGCGAGCTCTCTCCTCTTCTCTTCCCTTCCTGTCCTTACCCATAAAGTGAGGGGCTGGACTCCGTGGTGGTCTTTGAGGCTCCCTGCACCTCTAATGTTGTTCCTGATCTCTCTTACAGTTGAAGGAAATCTTTGGATTCAAAGTGGACTGTTCCAGATTGTCCAGTGAGTGGTTAAATCCTCACTTGAAGTGACAGTCACCTCAGGTTCTAAAGCTTCACATTTGTTCTTTATAGAGATGAGAAGCTGCCAGTTGTTCTTTAGTCAGCTGTATGTATAAAGCAATAACGGTCCTCTAGTTGTATGGCTCTAATAAAAGACTTTCCCCACCACTCCCTCCCCTTTTAAAAAAAAAATAAAAGTTTTTATTATTTATTATCACTTAAAAATATTTTTCATACAATTTTTAAGGGTGACTTTCCATCTACCCCTGTCACAAAATGTTGACTATATGCCCCATGTTGTACAGTACATCCTTGAAACTATCTTATACCCAGTAGTTTGTATCTCCCACTTCTGCACCCCTATGTTGCCCCTCCTCCCCTCCCCACCAGTAACCACTGGTTATATAGAGTAACCTCAATATCTGTGAGTGTACGTCTTTTTTGTTATGTTTAGTAGTTTGTTGTATGTTTTAGATTCCACATGTAAGTGATACCATACAGTATTCGTATTTCTTGGATTTATTTCATTTACCATAATGTCCTCCAAGGCCATTCATGTTGCTTGCTGCAAATGGCAAATTTCTTTTTAATGGCTGAGTAATATATCTATTGTGTGTGTGTGTGTGGAGAGAGAGATCTTCTGTCTCCATATATCTGTTGATGGACACTTAGGTTTCATCCATATCTTGGCAATTGCAAATAATGTTACTATGAACATTGGAATGCATATATCTTTTAGAATTAGTGCGTTTGTTTTTTTCAGATACATAACCAGGAGTGGAATTACTAGGTCATATGGTATTTCTATTTTGAGCTTTTTGAGACACCTCCATACGGTTTTTCACAGTAGCTGCACCAATTTACATTCCTATCAACAGTGTACAAGGCTTCCCTCTTCTTCACATCCTTGACAACATTTTGTGCTCTTTTTGATGATAGCCATTCTGATGGCTATGAGGTGTTATCTCATTTTGGTTTTGATTTGCATTTCCCTGATTATTGGCCATGTTGAGCATCTTTTCATGTGCCCATAGGCCATCTGCATGTCCTCTTTGGAAAAACGTCTATTCAGTTCTGCCCATTTAAAATTTTTATTTATTTATTTTAAAATTTATTTTTTCCTGTCCTTTTATTTGTTTTTTGATGTTGAGTTGTAGGAGCTGTTTATATATTTTGAATATTAATTTCTTTTCAGTCATATCATTTGTAAATATTTTCTCTTATTCAGTAGTTTGTCTTTTCATTTTGTCAGTGGTATCCTTTGCTGTGCAAAAGCCAACTCAACATCCCTCCCCCTTTATGGAATTCTTCTTTGTGTCCATGTTCTTGCATTTGTCTGTGGAAGCCAGAAGACTTTTATAGTCAAGGGCTTAACTGACCCTGAGTGGTAGCCCCATATCACATACACTTATTTTATCCTTTTTGGGAATTTGTCGTCTTCTTTCCAGTTTTCCCAGTTTGAAAACGGTCTGAGATGTGGATGGAGAATGGAGGGGTGGGACTGGGAGGCGGGGTTTACAATAGATAGGGTTGAGCTTCCCATCAGCAGCTCATTAAAGGTGTTTGTTGATTTCTCTGCTGGCCCAGTGCTAGCTAGCTACTTATCTCTGCTCCCTTCAGCCATGATCTCTTGTTCTGGAGACCTTGATTGGAAAATGCACTCTGCTATCAGCAGGGCTCTTTGTAGTGTTTGTCTCTGGTATCTGGAGCATTCTGGATGGAGCCCAACATGCTGTGATCTGCACACTGGTGAGGTTGACCCAGTGGGACTTGGAATAACACCTGATGGAGGACTGAGGTAAGGGAGAGGGTGGTAGTGGTGGTTTACTTGCTAAGCCATGTCTGACTCTTTGTGACCCCATGGACTGTAGTCCATTAGGCCCCTCTGTCCATGGGATTCTCCAGGCAAGAATGCTGGCGTGGGTTTGTCATGCCCTCCTCCAGGGGAGCTTCCCAGCCCAGGGATCAAACCAGAGTCTCTTACACTGCAGGAAGATTCCTTACCACTGAACCACCAACTGGCAGATTGATCATTCTGAGACCTGAGAACTGAGCTCTAGAGAGAGTGCGACTCACTTGGACCTTCCCGCTAGGGTGTTTCTCTTTTCTACAACAATATAGGACGATGTAGAAGATATTTTCTTAGCAATGGCCAAACAGGGCTGCAAGGGAAGAGTGTGCTTCTGGCTTGTGGGTAGAAGAAAAAAAGCATGGACCTGGGAGTGTGGCAGACCTGACTCAGACCCTGGCTCAGGTACTTGTTAGCTGTGAGGGTCCCAGTGTTCTCACATGTAAAACAAGGCTAATGACAACAAAACAATGCACAGACTTGTAAAAACAATTATACAAGGAAAATGCTGACTGTATAGTGGGTGGTCAGTATATGTGGATTTACTCCCCTGGTGAACACAGATGGGGCTTCCTGCCATGGAAGCCTTGAAGTTGGACACCTGTCTTTGGAGCATTTGGGTGACCTGCTGGATCACCAGGTCAGGGGGCCGGAGCTGATGGTGAGACCACAGGGCAGAACCTTGGCACCAAAGACACTCATTTGGGCACTTCTGTCGGAGTGGGGAAGCCTTGATTTGCACAGGAAATGTCACACGTCTGTGTCACATGTATCAGGATAGCTGATACTGGTCTCTCATCTTTTTTGACAAAAATAATCTCCCCTCCCCCACTTCAGTGATATTTAGCAACTCATTTGGGAAAAAATCCCCAAAGGAAAATTTGAAGGAGAAGATGGTCACATCCGCCCCCTTTTGCACAGGCTGTTTCTCTCCTTGGCAGTCTTGCAGTGGGAGAGGATTTATGTGATGAGAATGAGATTTTTGATATTCTTTGCAGAATCGAGATGCCTTAACCTGGAGGTCTTTTTGCCCCTTCGGAATATAAATCCGATTAGAAGCTCTTTGTGCTCTGCCACAAGTCATTACATGTCTACATTTTGTTCTTATAAAATATGGATAATGACACGACTCTGTCTCCTAGGAGTTTGAGTGCATTAGCTAATGATCATGAAACCTTAGAAATGGGAAATGCATATGAATGCTGAGAGCTTTTGTAATTACAGGTTTGCATCATTTTGCTTGGCATCCTTGAAGAGGCCTGCTTTCAACATGAGAATACTCGGGTTGATTCCTGTTCTTCTAATTGTAAAGCAAGCTTGGAAGCGATAAACACAGAGAGTGTTCAGAGCAGAGAAGTTATAGCATCTCGTGAAAGCCCTCAAGTAGCTTAGGCTGGAGTGGCTTGGTTTGCGCTGAAGTGGGAGAAGAGCTTGAGATATTGTAAAGTCACCACAATGAGAAAATACCAGTGCCCAAGGATGGTAGTGGCTTCCATGCAGGGTTGTAGTGAAATGCTCATGTCCTTTATTCTTGTGACATCAGATATATTATTTTCTCAGCCTTTATTCTAGGCAGCCGTGAACACGCTGTATTGCAGTGGGCTGTTTTGATGTGGGTCACCTTCCTGGATTGTTAAGCCTCTGGAGTGTAGATACTGTCTTTGTATCCTCTAGAAAAATCCAGATTTCCCTTGATCTCATCCAGATAATTATTTTCAAACTTAAGAAACTCTTTAAAAGAATGTCAAATGTGTGAATGTCAGAAATGTGTTGAATACCCAAGTTATAGAACCTTAAAAAAAAAAAAAGCATTAATTTATGTGGGTGACCTGACAGTGTGCTGTGTGACAGCTGACGTTGTTTTTATTTCCTTTCAGGCAGTGGCGCTACAGCTGTGGTTCAGGCTGCTCTGTGCAAACCCAGGCAAGAACGTGTAGCAATAAAGCGGATCAACTTGGAAAAATGCCAGACCAGCATGGATGAACTATTAGTAAGTCACAGTGAACGGGATACCGCTGGTTGCTTTCCTTATCTTATGTAGAGATGAGCCGGAGAAGCAGGAGAGGAGAGAGCGGAGGCCACTTGATGTTCTCTCCCATTCGGACACATGTATTTTTTGGAAAGCAGCCCACCTGGCTTTTTCCTCCTTATGACTGAATTGTGTAATATACAGCTTACTTTGCTTTGACAAATAGAATTTTACTCAGGCCTCATAATCCCCAGGTGGGGATGGTCTTGGTGTTGACACTGCTTTATGAAACGAGGGAATAGACTCAGATGACCTAAGGGCATGTGACACTGAATTGGATGACGGGCTTCTGGCCCTCTGTCTTGTATCGTGACACAAACAGGAATTACCCCCTCAACAATTGGTGGCCCTTCTGGCTTTCATAAATCACAAAATCTCCTATAAATTTCAGTTATTCAAAAATACTGCAGGGTAGCTCGCATTCCTATTGGCGAATGAGAAGAGTTTGTTTTTTGTGTTTTGTGGTTTTTTTTTTTTTTGGTACAGGGCAACTTGTACTTCTAAGTAAAGTTTGTTACATAAATAATTGGAGCTTGTCAGTGTGGCTTTGACTATAGGAGCATTGGTTGGTTTGAAGGATCATTTGCTTTTGGTTTAGCTGACTCATTATTAAATGAACAGCTTGGCAAATGGTTATTAGTTGCCCGGCAAACTGAAAGGTTTGAGCGTTTAATCTCATAAATATAGTTGTCATTCCGCCTGCCAATTTTCTTTTTTTTCCTTTTGGTCATTTGTTTGAGGATAATGGAAAACTGCAGTGGAGGAGTTAACTGATTGGTTATCCCACCACTAATCCCAGGACAAATATTAGTCCAATAGCTCCATACAAGCTACAAAGTATAATGACAGTTGGCTCCAAATGAAGAGGCCTTTTGTCATAGTCTACATTGGGAATGGAATGTCATTAACAAGAGCCTTTTGTCTTTACTCAGAATATAGCTTTTATTTCAGGCATAATTACAGTACACTATAGTATAAATTAAGTACAAGGATAAAGCTGTACTTTTCCAGATCTGTTTGGCCTTACATTTTCAATCAGGCTCCATAAAGCATAGTTTTCGCTGGGATTGAAACAACAGATTGCTGGCTAAAAGTTCAATTAAAGGAAGGGCTTCCACAATTTAATTAAAAAAAAATTTTTTTTTTTTGGCATATATTTAGTACTTTCACCCACCTTAGAATTTCAGCTCTGCTCTGCTCTTACTGAAATTATTACTGCATACTTCTGTTGCTTGCTATCACGGTGACCAATAAAACTGTGTCTTTGTCATCTGACCAGTTTTCAAGGTCACTTTCTGGCATGGAAAAAGCTTTAAACAAACTGGAGAGAGCTGTGTCCTGCCTTTGCCACTAACTTTTTTTTTTTAAGTCAAGTTACCTAACAGCTTTGCATGATTTAAAGAGAATTGAATCACAAGATCTCCAAGATCCCATTGTTTGTTGTTGTTCTTCAGCTACTAAGTTGAGTCTGACTCTTTGTGACCCCATGAACTGCAGCACACCAGGCTTCCCTGTCCTTCACCATCTCCCAGAGTTTGTTCAAGCTCGTGTCCATTGAGTCGGTGATGCCATCGAACCATCTTATCCTCTCTTATTCCCTTCTCCTCCCCTCAATCTTTCCCAGCATCAGGGTCTTTTCCAGGATCCCATTAGAAGTCTCAAATTCTGTGGCTATACTAAGTACATAATAAGTTTTTAAAGATCTTGAAGTATACATTTATCCTTATGTTCTGTTTGGAAATATTACTCTTGAATTTGCCTGTGGCAGTTGTATTGGATTATGGTGTTCTGTTGGAGGTCTCACAGTCATCTTTTTGCCACCAGCAGAATATTTAGACAGAATATTTACAAGGCATGTATGTACTTGTATCTGATAGTTCTGGAACCAGCCTTCAGGGCTGATGCTGTGGTCTCTGGTTTCTAACAAGCCCTCAGTTGCCCAGAGTCTCCATGTTTCCCCCCTGCTGACTTTTTATCAGCAGTCAGCTGCCAGTGATGACACCTATGTAAAGGTTCCACCGGAGACACCAGGACTATTGTCGTTCCACGCCCTTTTTTCTATTACCTGGGACCAGGAACCGTATCAGTGTCATTTGGAGTGACTCATAATTGAGCCAGAGCTGTCAGTGTAAGGCCTAGTGCTTTTCTAGCTTAGTGTTTGGCTCCATTAACCTGAAGTTTTAAGATATACAAGTTTGCTTGTTAGCAGTTGAATTCTTTCTTTCATTTTCTACCTGCTCCCATGCCCATGTTGTGTTAATGGAATATAGGATAATTATCAATTTATCTATTTGTAAAGGATGTTTGATTTGTTGCTCTAATCTTTCCTTAATTTTGAGTCTTTGACCTTTTGATGTCTTGATATTTCTAGGGATGGAGGGAATGGCTATGGTTCGTTAGGACACACGACTCCCCGGTTCTCTGCAAGCAAAAAGAACTGACAGTGTAGGCTCCTGCTGTTGCCAGGCTTTTGTGGTGGCCGAACTCTCGGCACATGACTCGTGCGGAGTAGAGTTGCTGTCATCCTTTCAATGTCTAATCTTGCTGCTGCTCGCGCTTTTATTATCTCTGTGGGTTCACATTTTGGCAGTGTCTGGACATCCGCTATCCTAATAATCCTTTAATTCCGTGAGTGTGTGTGTATTATATACAGGTCATTGCTCGGCGTCATTTCACAAACTGTGTCATGTGTTAACTGGAAACCATTGTTCTTTCAAGAAACAACGGCCACTGGAATCCTTATCTTGTGGGAGTGTTATGTCATAGAAGTCACAATTACCAGCTATTTGCTGGCTACTGGAACAGCTGCCGCCTCTGCTGAAGCTCTGTCTACCTCCCACCCCTGCTGTCTGCCCTGCCCCTACCCGCCAGCCCTGACTCCCATAGTAGGGCAGGATTTATCCTCACAGGTTGTGATAATGTGATGGCAGACAATGGTTTGGACAACTGGCCCTGGACTTTGCTTCTTTATGTGATGGAGGCGCTCAGTAGATTTTCCCTTGGTTGTGGAGTTTATTCACGGTTTGACTGAAGAAGACTTAAGTGGTCATGATTTCTTTATTTTTTTTAAATTTATTTTTATTGAAGTATTGTGAGTTCTGGGCTTCCCTGGTGGCTCAGCTGGTAAAGAATCCACCTGCAATGTGGGAGACCTGGGTTCGATCCCTTGGTTGGGAAGATCCCCTGTAGAAGGGAATGGCTATCCACTCCAGTATTCTGACCTGGAGAAGTCCATGGAATGTATGGTCCATGGGGTCACCAAGAGTCGGACATGACTGAGCAACTTTCATTTTTCATTATGATTTCTAAAGCAAAGTGATCTTTAGTATGACCTCTGAGAGTGAAGGGTGGAAAAGTGAGATCACTGGTGCTAAATAATTGGTAATTTAAGTAAAATGTATGCTGTTCAAATGAGTACTGTGATATCCTCAGAGATAGTAATTATTTGGTAAATACCTGAGTTTCTGCGAGCTTCCCAGGTGGCATTAGTGGTAAAGAACTTGTCTGTCCATGCAGAAGAGACACTGGTTTGATCCCTGATTTGGGAAGATCCTCTGGAAAAGGGCATGGCAACCCATTCCAATATTCTTGCCTGGAGAATACCATGGACAGAGGAGCCTGGCAGGCTACAGTCCACAGGGTTGCACAGTTGGACACAACTGAAGCAACTTAGCACACACACACATGAGTTTCTACGTTGTGCTTAGGCCCACAAAAAGGATGAGATTTTGGTGTATACGTGGGAGGACAAAGGTATGTGCTCACTAAAAATTCATTTCAACAAAAATTAGATTAGAGCACCCTTAAATGTTTTCCTTGGCATCACATGAATAGCATTTAACCTACTCAATCTAAACTAATTTTCGTTGCATTCTTGTGAATTTTCACTTGCGTTTTTGATTTTGGTCTTTAACTATGTCCTAATCTCTCTGGGTGTGATGATCTTGGTTAATTTTCCAGGAGCTTAGGAGTGTTACTGGTCTGTTCTATATTCTTAACCATCCCAAGCTGGATATGTTGATAATGTCTGAGATTTGTTATCCCACATTTGTTGTTAACTCCATGTTTGTTAATCCCACTCCAGTATAAATGACTAATTATAATTAGTTTAACACCCTCTGGGAGATAGTTACAGTTTTAGAGCAGAACTTGTTAACTCCGTAGTTGGGAAAACCTTAGTAGGTGCTGGGCCCTGGACTAGGTGGTGCGAAAACAAAAGAGAGTCTTCTTTTTCCTGGAGACTGGGACTGGCCAGTGAGTCTCTTCATATTTGTATTAGGTTGGTGAGATGTTTGTGCTAGGAATGTCTTTCTGCACTCTTCCCTCTGCTTGTCTAGAAACAGTTTATCAGATTGATAGGCAGATTCTCTAATGTGTACCCCACTGAGAAAGTTTCGCTTTCCAGTAGGAATTTAAAGTTCCCTAAGTGGGTCTGACCCACAGTCATGCAGACTAGTATATTCTGGTTAAGGATGGCCTTGAGGTTTTCTTGAAGAAGCTTGGTTCCCCGGTTTGTGGTCAACCTCAGAGGTCAGGGATGCTACTCGAGGGCACACTTGGCTTCCCTTAAAATTCATCACATAAGTGAAGAATTAATTTGCTTGAGTCTTTTTCAGTCTCTGTCCCCAGATGACAGTTCCATAGATGTGACACGGCCCTTTCTTTTAATTATCCTAAATCCTACATTTTTTAGCCTTTGGGACACTCTTCTTTAGTTTTACCCAAGGATTGATGAATGTTTTGGTTTATCTCCTTGTTTGACATTTTGATCCTTAGACTTTAATCAATCATATCTTTCTCAACCTTTTTCCTCTAGATTAGAATTCTCATATTTTTAGTCTGTCCTTGGTACTGAGTCACAGAAAAGTCAGTACCATTTTCTCATTCTTTTATATACATCAAATCTTATAGTTTAATTCCTAGGGGCAGGAGTGCCTTAGGTGTAGGAAAAATCATGGCCC